CTGTGCTAAACCATACTGCTTTGCTTCCCATATCAAGAGGATCTGATGTAAGTGCCGTTCTCTAATGGAGACCTGGTTCATCTATTGACCATCTATCAAATAAAAGACCACGCCTATATTTTAGGGTTCATGCTAGTCAGAATTTTTCAGTGCATCATAGTATGGCTGAAGTCTACTTGACAGTCTAATCCTTAAGAGGCTATTGGTTGTGACTTATTCAAACAGATCCTCTATCAGAAAGCTGTAGCCTGTTGTTGTCCCTCTCCATCATGTCAGCTCCATCAGAGAGGTGAAAAGCAGTCTCTAGGATAGACCTGCAGCTGTTTCTCTTTTACAAAGCTGTTGTGCATCTCAGTTGACAGGAAAACTCCTTTGAGATGAAAGTTTTCAGCACTTTGCTGGTTTTGAATGTCTGGCATCAAAAACAACAACAGCTGTGTGTTTTTGTGTGGATGAAAATACAGTTAAAAGCAATGCCATGCCTCTCTCTGAACAGTTCCATCATCACTGCCGATAAACAGACTCACATCAGCTCTCTGAATCAGCCTCCTCACCATCCTACCTCCTGCTGTCAGGCCCTCTCTGTACCCACCTTGAGTGGACTCCAGCATCATCATCCATGTATTTTGAAACCCTTCTGCCACAATCTGGGATTACCTTAAATTTAGATGTATTTTAATCTGCTTTAGGTATTATGTTTTTCTCAAAGTCAAAGGAATAAAGTCTACAGACCCTTACAACAGATTCAAGATTCAAGAACTTTATTGCTATTTTGACAGAGTCAGTAGGAATTTGTCTTGGTTCACCTTCTCCACAACATCCATCAAACAAACATATCATCACATCAAAAACAAGAACAAAAAAAAAAAAATTTTGGACTTGATAATTCTCGAGTTAAAGAGTGATGAGAGTGAGGGGAGGCTACACCCAATGATTTTAGATGCTCGGCGTACTACTTTTTCTAGGCGGGTCTTGTCCTGAGAGGTTGTGTGACCAAACCAGACAAGCATTGAAAAGTCAGCACACTTTTAACAGTAGCCTTATAGAAGTGAATCATTGCTGCTTGGCTAACACTGAACTTCGCTGGTGGGACCTGCTAATTATGAGAGTGGCGTTGAGAACCCATGATAGGGATTCATATATGGTGGTGCCCAGGAACTTAAAGGAGGATAACCTTTCTACTACTTCCCCATTGATGGAAAGAGGGGAGAGGGGGCTCGAGATCTTTCCAAAATCAACAACCATCTCTTTGGTCTTGGAGATGTTGAGTATTAAGTTGTTGCTCTCACGTCATCTTACCAGCTTCTCTACTTCTCTGCGGTAGTCAGATTCATCCTCGTTTTTTAATGAGACCCACCACAGAGGTGTCATCCACATATTTATACAACATGACTGATCTAGAATGTGACTGACAGAAATGTGTATATAGCGAGTACAGCAGTGGAGATAAGACACAGCCCTGGGGGGCCCCAGTGTTCATAGGCTGTATTGGCTGAGCGAGATCGTGTTGGTTCGTTCCACTTCAGTGGGGCAACATAAACTGTGATTCATAAAACAGGTCTATTGATAGTAAGTACTAAAAAAAAAAATCTACTCATGCCATCCTGTCGATTTTTAGTAATCAGTGTTTCGGTGTCGAACTATTTCCCTTCTGCGGCGTAGTGATACTTACACACGCGCAATCGAATATGCAGAGGGGTGAAGCGATTTTTGTCACGTGGACCAATAGGAGCCGAGTCTCGTTGCCATAGTATCAGAAATACACAAACATGGCGACGACCGCATCTAGCAGCGAAACAAGCAAAGACGAAGAAAAGAACAGGAAAAAAAGAAAACAGCCTTCAAAAGTGCATCAAAAAGGAACGAAATGATGCTATATGCATCTATCATCTGTCCAGAGTGAAGACGTTCTTGACTTTACAAGGACACGTTGGGAAACTTACAGAACTAGTATTGGAAAGTGGCTTTCTCTACAGGGTGAGACAAAGGACCTTGCAGAAACTTATAAACTTTGCGTTGATATCGACTTTGACAATGTTCCTGATGACGCTGGGTTTCACATGACATGCTACCAGTGATTTATTTGCAAAAGGCGTTTGAGAAACAAGAACGTGATGCAGCCGCGGGTCAGTCAAACCCTCCAGCCAGCATCGCCGATGCATCCACGTCCACGGCATCTGAAACTCCGCGAAAGAAACTTCGCTCGAGGTCATAGGCTGTATTGGGACAAAGGAAAAAGTGCCTAGAAAGTGAATTTCATTCAACTACGCTGGTGCTACTTGTTTAATGCATTTTTGCATAGACAATACCATTCTGGACTTTGAGTTAAAACATACAGTACAGGCCAAAAGTTTGGACACACCTTCTCATTCAATGTCTTTTCTTTATTTTTTTTATATGACTACTTACATTGTAGAATATCACTGAAGGCATCAAAACTATGAATGAACACATGTGGAATCATGTGCTTAAGAAAAAAGTGTGAAATAACTGAAAACATGTTTTATATGCTAGTTTCTTTAAAATAGCCACCCTTTGCTCTAGAGGACAGAAGTACTTAGTGACTGACTCTGTTAGTCATGAAGTAACCCGGACAAGGCACACCTGTGAAGTAAAAACCATTTCATGACTACCTCATGAAGCTCATTGAGAGAACAGCAAAAGTTTGCAGTGCTATCAAAAAAGCAAAGGGTCGCTATTCTGAGGAATCTAAAATATAAAACATGTTTTCAGTTATATCACACTTTTTTCTTAAGCACGATTCCACATGTGTTCATTCATAGTTTTGATGCCTTCACTGAGAATCTACAATTAAAATAGTAATAATAATAAAGAAAATGCGTTGAATGAGGTGTGTCCAAACTTTTGGACTGTACTGTATACTCAGACTATCTGTCTGACTTTTGTCACCAGACAGAAATGTACATATATGTGAGTAACCCAAAAAACAATTATATGGTGCTGCTGTTTTTGCTTGTAGAAACTGCTATGTTGATTCTGGCAAGACAAAATCTTTCTCAAATGTCACAAATTCATCTACCTAACATCTGAAACGGTTATTGGTGCCTTAGTATACACATAAGTGAATTCAGATTATGAAATGTAGCAAATTTCTTGAAGAAAACGTCTCAACTCAAGTGATTTGCACCCAGCACAATGAAATATATACAGTAAATTTAGCTAAAAGCTTATGTTTCATACATAAAAATGACAAAACCTACTGTGTAATAAAAGCAATAAAATGTAAACAGCACATCGGGCAGGATTTGTGAAGAAAGTGTGAAGGGGCACACATTTTACCAAAGAACGTTTCATCACCGCTGCTTGGTAGTTCGCTCTCATGCGGTGTTGGTACAGGGCGTCACTTGTTGGGGGAATGGACAGTTCTGGCAAAGCTGACGAGGCCATGCAGAAAGATTTGTATCTGGTATCATTTAAATTTTTGTAAGATGACTGGCCATACAGGTGGCACACAAACACTCAGCGTGTTAAAGGTGGATTGGTCAAGGTTAAAACTGTTGCCCAGATTTGCAAACCCAGTCAGGTATTCTTCTTTCTGACAAGCAACAGAAAATGATTTTCTTTTGCCCTTGCCATGAAAGGCACTGGTTGAGTCACAACCTGTGAATGTATGGATGTTCTTGTATGTCTGCAAGACTATCTTGTACAGATTTATGTCGGTGCCAAGCATGTGAGAATGCTTCAAAGGAAACAGAAGAAAGAGCTGTATGGGATGATGACTCTGATGAAAGTGATAGTGATGCGTAATATACGCACCATGTCACCATGTACAATTTGTTTTGATTAAAGGATTGCTACACCGAGATTTGAGATTTTTATTATTTTTATATCTGTTCTACATTTGTCTGCGTTTGTGTTTTGATCTTTATTTTCATATTCTGGAGGGATTGATAAATGTCAGATGTTTTGACACTGTGATAATTGAAAGTCAATTTGATTGACTTGTTTGAGTGAGTCATAGGCTATATCCCCTAACTTTGTTTTAAGACCGAGTTCAATAGTTTTATAATATGGATAATGTTAACACTAGCAATCTATGCAGTCTCCCCAAGCTATTCTGCACATTTACTTATTGCTTTTTATCACATAACCGCGTTCTGTAATGTACTACAGCTTTGTGGCTAATGCTAACGGCTAGTGGCGACGCTAGCAATGCTAGCTTGAGTTACTGAACTCCAGTTTTTATTTCAGCACCCTGTTTTGAACTTATAAGCATAATAGATGATTTTAGTGTTGTGAAAATGAAACGCGGGTCGGCTTGTAACCTTTTTATTGTGATAGTTTCATTCGTTATCTTGTTTTAATTCAATGTACTTCTAAAGATAGTAAATGCAGTCAGAATGCAGGCAAATTTTGGCGCCAATATAGCAGCTTTAGGGGAGGGCAACCGCCATTCCGACATCAGTAGAGTGTATACATCAGTAGATCTTATTTTGTTGCTAATGTCTTCTTGCCCTGCACCAGCCAGGATGATTGTATAATGAGTGCCTGCGTTTAAAATATGTCAGTGTCATATTAAGGTTGTGTTATTATAATGCTATTAATCTGCATTTACTTTACTTCTACTTCTAAGTAAAAAAATATCCTTAATTTAGACCTTGATTGAGACCTGACAATTGGCTAATTGAAGCTTATATATACACACCTGTATTAGATAAATTGCTTGAAATACTGCTTAGGGGGTTATTACAAGTCTCTATGGCTAGCCAATAGTTCAAACACACCTAAATGAGAGGTTAAAATGAAAGAAAGCTAATTTTGAAGGAAGGCGATTTTTCATTTTTGAACAGCTGCACTCTATTACTTCAGTGAGTGATAACTACAATAAAGCTACCAGTTACCAAGGTCTATCATATAAAAACTTATTGTAGGGATGTATAGCAATAAAAAAATCACAACTAGAATTTGCCCACCCAGGTGGTACCGATATATGAAATTTTGGTTCTTGGCTCAAGTACTAATTGTCTTTTTGCTGTTTTCCAGCTTTGAAAATGGAAGCAAGTGGGCCTCCCTCACTTGTCACTTGTCTCCTAGACGGCAGAGAGATCTGGAAAAAGGTCTTCCACCTCAACACCACTACAGAAATTCTGGAAACCACCAAGCACTCATTGAATTGCACAGCAGAATTAGATCGACTACTTGTTTTTAATACTTGCTTTGAGGCCTTCGTTGATACTGACGTAGGGGGCAATGTATCACAAATGGACAAATATCAAATTCTGCTCAAGTCAATGAAGCCAGAGGATGACCAACAGAAGCAGCAGGTATGTATGCATATCAAATGGTAGCCTGTGTTTTGGCTTAAAGGGATAGTTTGGTTTGTTTTAAGTGGGATTGGTCACACCAACTCATTCAATGTTTTCTTTCTTTTCATGATTGCAGCTATTTGACCACAAAGGCCTGATTCGTGCAGTCATGAAAAGAAAGAAAACGCATTGAATTAGATGGTGTGTCAAAACTTTTGGTCTGTACTGTGTTTGTATGTATGTCTGTCTAGTATATGTCAGGATGAGCAATATATTATATTTAATCAGTGATATTACTTTCTTTTTAAGGCTCAACTATCGCCTCAGAGACAAAGTACAAATGCACCTGGTCCTAGTGCTTTAAGTGGGGTATATATGTGTCTGGGAGATGTACTACCTAGTTTCAGATATTGAGCTAATCAGTGCAAAACATCAAAGAATTATGAACACCACTGATTTATTTTTGCTCATGGAAGCATCATTTTGGATTTTAGTGTGATAAGCTACTTTTGTACACATTGTTTTGATTTACATATCTCTTTTCTTTTTCTTTATACTTTTCTAAGGATCAACCATCGACTCATGATGCACCTGGTCCTAGTGGTCTTTGGGAGGTATGTGTCTGAAAGAGATGCATAGAGACAGTAATATCACATGGGGCTGATAACAGTACGAAACAGTATTGCATCACTGTATGCCAACACAAAATGTCTGTTTATTTTGATGTTTAGAATAGAATAGAATAGAATATTCCTTTATTGATCCCCCATGGGGGAAATTTTTTTGTCACAGCAGCATCACAGACAAGACAAAGAGTGCAAAAATGCAGTTATAACAATAAGGATCCTAATATTAAGAACTTAATAAATGTAATAATTAAGAAAAAAATTAGAAAAGGGAAAAAGGGAGAAGAAAAAAAAAAACTTTCTACAATATACACAATTTACACAATTTAAATGCCAGAAAAAAGTGGCGGTGTAAATCCAGTTTTGTTACTGTTCATTGTAAAGTCTTATTGCAGAGGGGAGGAATGAGCGCTCCGTCCTGCAGGGTGGGAGTCTCAGCCTGATGCTGAAGGAGCTGCCTAAAGCCCCCACAGTCTGGTGCAGTGGGTGAGAGGGATTGTCCATGATGGATACAAGCTTTGTTAACATCCTCCTCTCACCCACTTCCTCCAGGGAGTCCAAAGAACAGTCCAGGACAGAACCGGCCCTCCTGACCAGTCTATTCAGTCTCTTCCTGTCCCTCTCGGTACTCCCTGCCCCCCAGCAGACCACTGCATAGAAAAGTGCAGATGCTACCACAGAGTCATAGAAAGTCCTGAGCAGAGTCCTGCACACTCCAAAAGACCTCAGTCTCCTCAGCAGGTGGAGACGACTTTGGCCCTTCTTGTACAGAACGTCTGTGTTTCAATACAGTACAGATTCACTGCTTCAAGATAGTACTACAAAACTTGTCCATGTAGATTCTCATTCATCCAGGTCATGGTTATCTTGAAGACTTAAAAACAGGCAACTGGACTGTGTAGAGTTGAGAAGACGTTTCGCCTCTTATCCAAGAAGATTCTTCAGTTCTAAAAGTGCTAGTGTCAGGAACATTTTGTGCCAGATTGATTAGGTGCAGGCTTTCTTGGTATGACTGAACATATAATTTTAGCATTGCTCTTGTTCAAGCCGAGACATTTTTTTTCTTTTTAAAGGCTGGACAGCTGAATGCCGCTGCAGCCCGTCAATCGCAGGTATGTGTATGGAGCGCAACAGTAAGTTCTTCCTCCAGGTCCTTTATATAATGTGTTTTAAGGCTTGAACCTAGCCAACACAACAATAAAAATATCAGGGATGTTTTCCCATTGTTATCGTTTGTTTTTGCTTATTATTGTTTTACGATTGCTCAGGATATTTGAATACCAGGGGTCTTCAGCGTTTTCAGGCCAGCGACCCCTTAGCCCCCTCTATGAACTTCTTTGCCAAACATAGCTGATCTACAAGTTGACAACACCTCGCAGCCCAAGGCGTTGTAAGCTTGTAGATCAGCTATTTTTGTCTAAGCTTTCACTCAGAATAGAGATGCTAGAGTTCAACTAGTTAATGATGAAAGATTTGGTGCCCCCCTGTATTAACTCTGCTCTGTCCTAGAACGGTCAAGGACATTTTACACAACATTTTGATGCAGCCAGTCTGAGTGCACTCATTGAGTGAATATGAGAAATATGAGGGAATATGAGAAATCAGGAACACTCTTCCTGACATCCAGAAAGCCGCTTGTGAGAATAAGTGTCAGTGATCTGGTGGAGCGAAGAGGATTGTGAGTTCATTCTTCATTTCATAAAATAAAAGGATTCGAATGGTTTGATAGAAAAGCAATATCTTTCATGACTATGCAGTAGTTAATACATCTGAGATGTGCCATTTAACGCAGAAAGTATCATGAAATGTGACTTTACGTGAACGGCTGGTTTACAAGGTTAAGATACTGGGACGTGTAGTGTTTTTGGCATAAAGGAGTCACTCAAGATGTTTTACAAAGACTTAAACTCTCAGGAAAGCAAAAAGTATGAAAGTTATTGACTGCAGTGTACAAGTTAAGTTGTCAAAACTGTCCAGCATCCTATCATAAATTGACGTTTATCCATGTATATTTTTCTAAATCTTTTTTTTCTTTTCCTTTTTCCTTTCAGTTACCCTGGAAATCCTGACAAGGTGATGTTGGCGAAAAGTATAACAACAGTCTTCCCATCACTGGTGATCAAGATGGGTGAAAAGACTGAAGGATTTGTAAGTGCAAACTGATGTGAATATAATTTAAATTGTAATATTCCCTGCTTGTAAATTTTACTGTGAGCTACAGCCATAGACTGTATAAAGAATGGACAGAGTCTGCCTCCTCGCTGGGTGAAGCCACTCCGAGAACAGCACCCTCTGATGGTGGGCTGCAGTATAGGTCATAAATCCCGCCTCCGCCAGCAAAGCTTATGGGACTGTGGACAAACTTTGGAAATTTATTACACAGAACATTAATTTTTCTCGCCCTTGCTTGTGATGTTGACATGTAGTTATTGTAAGACTGGTTTGTGCCCAAGTCCTCTTTTTTCTGTACAGCTCCGTTTTTAAAAGTTATTAGGGGATTCATGTTTTCTATGATTGACACCTGGTACAGCCTATGGGCGTTCAGGGATTGCGTAGCTCACCCGGGGGGATACGCTGTTTGAGCCGAGCGTCATCACAGGGACTCTCGGCGACTGCGCGGCCGAATGCGTGCATCGCTACTGTACAGCTCTGGTTTCAAGGAAGTGGAGAAAAACCCGGAATTACCGAGAGCTTTTTGGCTTCAAATCCGTATACAGGCGGAAGGCGGAACCAGGTTGTCCATAGTATATACAGTTTATGGCGAATACATCTGTACATCTGTCCCAAATGCAAGAAAAGGGTTTCAGAACATGTAAGGGCACTTATAAGACATCTTAGGCAAGTCCATGCAATTTCAGATGGACAGGATTATACAATTGTATGCAGTCAAAATCACTGTCAAAGGACTTACCAAAATTTAAATTCCTATACTAAACATCTAAATAGAGCTCACCCTCTTGTTGCAAACCTAGAACACACTGAACATGTTGTCCATGTCAGTAACGAGTCAGTACAAGATGATGGAGAAACATCCTCTAACCAGGACACTGCAGAAACTAATTTGGACAGCGACACTCCAATGGATGATCATTGTTTGTCAGACCACCGTGACACCGCAGCTTCATTTGTTGCCAAAATGTACTCTGCTTCAAATTCAACCTTGACAGATGTTCAAAAAAGCATCATATGCACGCAAGAGCTTCTGGATAACACTCTGGCTTCTTTAAAGAATAAAACAACAGCTTTGCTTAACAGCCATTGTATACCAAATGATGATGCAGGTGTCCAATCTCTAATGCAGGATTTTGAAAATGCTCACAGCATGTTTTCAGATATTGATACCCCCTACAAAATGTGCAAGTATTTTTCTGAAAAACACTCACTTGTCAAGCCCACAGAAATCTTCTTGGGGCACAGAGGTGACACAGCAAGAAGGATGGGTAAAGTTAATCAAGTAATGGCAGCTGACACGTGCCAGTATATATCCATTATTGGCAACATAAAGTTTCTCTTTGGAAGTGAAAAGATGCAGGGACTCTTTAACCAGTCAAACAAATGTGTTGATAGTAAAATGCGTGATTACTGTGATGGCACACATTTTGCACAACATAAATTATACAGCAGGTATCCCAATGCCCTACAAATCCAACTTTATTTTGATGATGTCGAAACTACGAATCCCTTATCATCGAAAACTAAGGTTCACGAAATGGGAGCAGACATTAAACCACTTGATTTGCTGTCATCTTACAGTGGAAACCAATTGTATGTTAATCCAAGATACAAACTTATTGCTTAGGTCTGCATTACTAAAAAATGCTTAACTCTTCAGATATGAATATTGAATATGATTATAGGCAGCTAGTATTTGTAAGTGGCTATGTCCTCAGGGGACGGTTGTTTGACATGCCATGTCTGTATTTCAGTTGTTACATTTTTGCACTTATGGTTTAAGAAATGTTTACAAAATGTTTTGCACTGATGCCTGAAGCAAATAAAATTTATAAAAGTGACTTGAGATTCAAGCAATTGTTTATTCTTTTTAGTGACCAGGTTTGGTAATTTAGCAGATAATCGCTGTAAATTTATATTGAACACTATTTGTATTTTAATATTTTATAAACAATAACACAGTTGTGTGTAAATTGTATGAAAATAACACAATTTTGTGTGAAGAATACATAACGCAGCTATGTGTAAATTGCATGAAAATATGACACAGCTCTGTGTTATCTTTGTGTAAACCCAACACAGTTGATGTGTTGACACATTTAACACACATGTGTGAAATCTGTCAACACAAAGTCATGTGTCAAAACAACACATTGTGTGTTGTCCTTAACTTGAGACACGGATGTGTTGTTTTATAAACAATAACACAGTTGTGTGTAAATTATATGAAAATAACACCCTTTTGTGTGAAGAATACATAACGCAGCTATGTGTAAATTGCATGAAAATATGACACAGCTCTGTGTTATCTTTGTGTAAACCCAACACAGTTGATGTGTTGACACATTTAACACACAACATGTGTAAAATCTGTCAACACAAAGTCATGTGTCAAAACAACACATTGTGTGTTGTCCTTAACTAGACATACGGATGTGTTAAGAAATAACATATGATGAGTTACTTTTGACACATTCGTCTTGAGAGTGTAGATTTAGATTCCAGGGGGGTATCGCACAAAAGTAGAATAACGAAATCCAGGATAACTGAGCAAGGCTTAATTGGTTGCACGTTTGCCGAGCCAGGATGAAAAGGCATGGCTATGTCAAGCCAGGTGTTGATAGTCAGGATAAGTGCGTGTGCACGGCATTCTTAAGTAGACCACAGGATCAACCACATAATCACAAATGGGAAGATGGCCAACAGTCGCGCGACTTACTTCACACCCGCTGAGCTCATCTAAGTTGTGTCCGAATTGGGCCAACGTGTTTAGTATGTAGGAGTAGGATCTAGCAGTAGCACGTAGCAGTAGCATGTAGTATGCGAGCGGGCAATTCGGACACAGCACTAGTAGTAGGACTCCGGCATCCTTCCTCGGAATTTAAACTATTTCTAGTAGGACTCCGGCATCCTTTTTGGTCTTTTATAAATTCTCTACGCGAAGCGAATCTCAATCAGTCCATGTTTCTTTTTATAAAAGACCAACTCACCACTTGTCTTTCCCCTTGGCTTCGGATTTCCGTCAACCGTCGGATCCCAGCAGGCGGGTCGAGCCCAGTTCCTCAAAGAGGTTTTTAAGACTCATCCTAGAGAGTCTGCCGTGGCCACGGTCTTATCTGTCGTCCACCTCACCTGCTGGAATCGTCAGGTCTATTGGAATCCGGCTCGAAGGACCAAAGAAATGTTAGGTCTAAAACCTGCAACATTTACCTGATAACATATAAAGAAGAGAAAGACAATGGTATATACTCGAGGAGAATGGACCGAGATAGCTTCAGGTACCATCTCGAAACCACTCTGAAAGGTATTTCCGCCCAGTCTCTTTTATTTAGGGTTGTCCCTAGTTACACAATGTTTCTAAAGGGTGGGGGAAAAATATGTGCAGCAACATAAGCACTCTCATAAAACATAATAATGAACAACTGTGAATATGTGAGGGTCAAGGCGGCATCTAACGAGCTCCTTCTGATAAGAGCGGCTCCTCCTCTAATTTCCCACGATTCACATCATCCACACACCCACACCTGCTGATAGGAGAAACGAGTTCACAGAGAAGTTAAGAAACATTCATGTGAATAAAGCTATTGGAGAGAGAAGTTAGAAAACACTCTTATATGTGTAACAAGAGGTCAAAACAGTATATACTTGTAGTAAACTCTTACATAAGAATATGAGGAATAATAATAACTTCTATATACATTTATGCACATTATTCTAACAAGAAGTCACAATGTCAGTGAAGGAGTCCAAATCATCCTCACCCTCAGTCCACAAGCTACTCCATTCTGTGTAATCCAGACAGTCTTGTAGTGTTATATGGCTTGAGGAGACCATTTCCTTTCGTGAGAAGGAACCCCAACAAGCTACAGAAAGCCCGAAAGAGAAATACCCCCAGGAGATCCCGAGAGGGGGGGAGGATGAGATCTCCAATTGGACGGACCAAAGGTTAATGACCCCCGCAAACGAACCGACTACGAGTATGACATGTAGTATCTGCGGCAAGCTATGCAAAAACAAATGTGGCCTAAAAATCCATCAGGCCAGAATGAAATGCTTGGAGTGGGAGAGCGAGGTACAACGCATAGGTCCTGGACCTGGTGAGACGCAGGAGGAGCCCGGACAGGAGGCAACCCACAGATCCCAGTCCCTCCATGTACCAGAGTCTCCCAACCCTGGCAGAGTAGTTCCACAGCAGCGAATTAAATGGCCCACAGCAAGCAGACGGAGCGAGTGGCTGCAGTTTGACGAGGACGTGTCCAACATCATCCAAGCCAAAGCCAAAGGAGACGTTGACAGCAGACTCCAAGCGATGACTACCATCATCGTCAGCTATGGCTCAGAAAGATTTGGCTGGACTGAGAAGGGCAACACCAAGACCACCTCCTACACCATGAACCGCAGGGCTACTAAGATACACCAACTGCACCAGGAGCTTCGAACCCTCAAGAAACAGTTCAGGAGAGCTACTGAGGAGGAAAAGCAACCATTGGCAGAACTGCACAACAT